TTCAGATCCTCTTAGAAATTCAGACCTCCTAAAAATTCAGATGCTGCTAAACAGCCCCTAAGTTGCAACAAATATTAGTCCAAAACTTAAAATTATAGCCCATACTTTTATGAATTTTTATGATTTTATGTAAACAAATAGAAGTCCAAAGTCCAAACCTTACAAAGCCCAAAAACGTTTCTTATGTTTTTGTGAGTTATGCCCATCGGAGAAAAAAAACCGTGGGAAGGCACTAAGGCAGATCGTTGTAATGGAACATGCTTAAAAAAAAATCACCGTGAAAGTTTCATCGACATCGAGCCATCAGCCATCTGTCGTCTTCTTCCAAGAAAATCGATTTTGAAGCTTGAGCCATTGAGCTACCAAGAAAATCTTCAAACCCTACAATGAAACAAGTATAGAGTATCGATCTTTTAGGTTTATGCAGTTACTTATTTTGTTTTTGTTGAAATTACTAATTGTTTTCTTGAAATTAGTAGGTTTTCTTGAATTAATTCTTTAATTACTTGTTGTTTCCATGTATTTTTTTATTTTGGTAAGTTGTTGAATTGTTGGCTTGTAATATTGTTTATTTAAAATTTGTTTTTTTTTTCAAGTATTGGAGGATCCTCCAAAAGAAAATGCTCCAATCAATCATTCATTTTGATTTCTAATCTAAATCCACAAAGACTAGGGGTGACCCGTTGATTTTGATGGCCCGGTGCGAAAATTAAAAATGGGCCCTTAAATATATTTTTTTTTATATATAAGCAAAATTTGTTAATACAATGATAAATAATAATAATAATAATAACGATAATACAATATATAATCTTATATGGTTAAATGAATCGCGAGACTCTCATAATGTTATTCAGTTATTTAGAATGTGTTTGTTAGTGTGTTATATTCGTTAATCAACGATAACAATCAGAATTTAAAATGAGATGCTGTCAGATTTAAAAATTATAAATAGTAAAATACTTAGTTGTTTAATTTTAGTTAACAATAAAATAATAGAGCGAGAGCGCAATGTATATGAGAGTTGAAGTCTAGTGGAATCAGAAAATTAAGAAACAAAAAATATCGTTTGAGCTGTGCAGTTGCTACAAATTTAGAAGTTTGGAGTTGGAACAAAACATAAGTTCTTGTTTACTGTAAATTTACATTAGCCCAATTGCAATTTTTAACTTTAAGCCCAATTGTTTAAAATGTTAGTTGTTGTAATTTTTAATTGTATGGTTAGCTATTGGAATTTGAAAATACATGAGTTTTTGTCTTTTTATTACTAGTTGTTGTCTTTTCGTCTTTTTTATTACTAGATTGTATATTGCTAGATCTCGCACACCCACAACTTAATCATATGTAAAATTGGCCCCTTCCACAATATGGGTTGTGTGCGGCCGTCCACCTCGCATACCCTTAAAGACATCGATGACAAAGACCACGACCCACAACTACTCCAATTATAAGCACTCATTGAAGGATCTTCCAAAACGATCCTTTAGACTAATGATTATAACTTATAATCCAAATCAAAAAGATGAAATAAACAGAACATATTTGCTTTGAAGACCTTTCAACTAAGGAGTCATATATTTCTATCTCAGAAAATTGGTATAAAAGAAATATATTTTTGTTGTTGGTTGGTTTGATGAATTTGTAAGTAAAGCATAAAAGAGAATAATATATTGTTTATTATGCTTGCCATGTGTGTGGATAACATAATTATTAGTTTGCTAATTTAATGTACTCGTACTTTTAATTTTTTTTATGTTGTTATATTTGATAGGTAAAAAAAATTGATACCAATCATACCACTACTGCTATAAATTATGTGCCCGAACCTACATGGATACTATATGAACGCGTGACTTGAAAACTTCTATATCTATCTATCTAAATCTATCTATATATCTATATCTATATCTATATCATATCATACTATATTATAAAGGAAACATTTTTTCTTTCACCATATTCATTTGAAACTCCAAACTTCCATACAATATACTTAATTTATTAACTCAAATATGCTTTTAGTTGTAAACATTATCATAAATGGAAGAATTTGTGACTTATCAATATGATATACTTACTTTGTTAACTTTAATATATAGTTAAATAAATAACCTACATTAATATATCAAATAAGCTTAAAAATTTAGTGTAAAATTTAAAACCTAAAGTAAACTATCAAATAAAGTTTAAAAAAAACTCAATATATATTTTTTAATATAGTTAAAAGGAAAACATTAAATATAATAATAATAAAAGAACCTAAATTGATGATCGAATTAACTAAAATGTGTCTGAAAACTATATTCTAACAATATATTTTTTACCTGCGGCGTGCAACGCGCGAGAATTCGTCTAGTATCTTATAAAGCTAGCATTTTCCCTTTCACCATATTCATTTGAAACTCCCATGCATTTTTCATTTCACCACATTCATTTGAAACTCCCATAACTTTTCATTTTCTTCCTAATAATGGTTATAAGTTGGTTAATAAGATTAAATATATATCAAACATAAAGTGTAATCATATACAAACTAAATTTCTATATTAAAAGAATATATTTACTTCTACTTATAAACTTATGTTTTTTTTAACTTTTAACATATTATACTTAATTTATTAGTTTTAATATATTGTTGGGTGTAAATCATTATCATTTTAAAGCTACAACTATTGAATAATTTGTATAAAAATACTTCAATTATAAATTTAAATATAACATTACAGGATCAACTTAAATATAAATTTTAATTTAACTTAAATAAACCAAATAATATTTTGTAAATAGTTAAAAATGATAAATTGTAATGTCCTTCTAATAATGATTATAAGTTGGTTAATAAGGTTAAATAAATATCAAAACAAAAGTGTAATCATAAATAAACTAAATTTCAATATTTAAATAACATCTTTACTTCTACTTATAAAGTCATGTATTTAATTTTTAACAGATTATACTTAATTTATTAGATTAAGTTGTTGTTGTTGTATGTAAACCATTATCAATTTAAAGCTACAACTTTTGAACAGTTTGGACAAAATACTTAAGTTGTTAATTTAAATATAACATTACAATATCAACTTAAATATAAATTTCAGTTTCACTTAAAAAACCAATAAATATTTTGTCAATAGTTAAAAGTGATAAATTGTAGTGTTAAATGCAAAAATTGAATTATAATCTCAATTTAACTAAAATATTTCCTAAAAATATTTGTGTAATCATTAAAAGTATTTCAAATAAGTAGCTTAAAATAACTTACAATAACAATAGTTAAATATAACTCTATATAAATGATTATATTGTTATCTTTAAAATCAAAAAACAATGTTTGATGTTTTAAATAATTATAATGATACAAATTAAAATGTTTAACAAATAAATAGGAAAAAATTAATTAACAATGACAATAACTATAAATAACATTAAACCATATATTATATATAATTTTATTCATGAGTAACTCGCAGGTAGAAGTCATTCAAACGACTGAGATTATGCAGTTATAATAGATCTATATATTATCATATAATTCAAAATAATCAATACATTATATCAATTTAGTATACAAAATATTATATAAAATTTAACAACAATGTTATTGTTATATTTAAAAAAACATATATTTGTATAGATTTCAACTATATAGGTATTTCCGCGCAACGCGCGTGCATTCGCCTAGTATTAGTTTACAAGCGAGACAATTGGTTCACATATTATTTTATGGAAGGAGTTATATACGTTTAATTCTACTCTAATAAATAAAGGTTTTTTTTTTACCACATGTCACACTCTTATTTAATTTGTCAAATGTTATTTTGTGGTTATTTTGATTTTTTTTTTTTTTTTCCAAATGTCATTTGATTGGTTTTTCTATTTTAATAAATTCTACATAATACTTTAATGTAATAATTACAATAAATATAGTAAAAAATGAATATCAATTTTATTAATGGATTTACATTTTTATTTCAAAATTCCCAAATTAAAACTCATTGGTTTATTTTGTTTATTTATTTAAATTTAAAAGATAATTTTTTTAATAACTCATTATTTTTCTTATTTTTTTTATAAATCCAAAGTTATTCAATATTTAAACATTTATATTTAACTTTTTTAATTATCACATTTAATACATGGATCTTATACCTAGTGTATTAAATATGACATAATATATAAGAACAATAATCTATGTTAAATAATATTTTATTTATTTATGTATTTATTTATTTATGTCATGCCATGTGTATAAAACTAATTTCTTATAAACCTATTTCAATATATATAAATATTAGTTATGAGACTCATGTATTATATGAGTTAATTACAAAAAAAAAAAAAAAAAAAAAAAGTTAAATATAAACGTCAAAATATTTTATAACTTTGAATTTTGAAGAAAAAAAATAATAATGAATTATTATAATTGAAATGTTTTTTATCTTTTAAATTTAAATAAATAATTTAATAAATAAACAAAAGTAGGAATGAGCTTTAATTTGGAAATTTAGAAATTTAAAGATAACTTCATTAATAAAATTGATATCCATTTATTACTACATTTATTGCAATTATTATATTAAAATATTATTTGGAATTTAATAAAATAAAACAACTCATAAAATGATATATGGAAACAAAAATTAATTCAAAATAATCATAAAATGACATTTGATAAATTAAATGAGAATATAACATACGACAAGAAAAAAACATCTAATAGATGAGAATATTTTGGAATTATAATAAAAAGATGTTAAATTACTTAGATCCTTTTTAAAAACAGTGATATTTCGAATTTCGAAAATGGAATTAGAAGATGTAAAATGATATCTTCATATTCAAAATTATGGTCAAATTTTACATGCTACAAATTTGGAATTTCATAAATGGATATTTCTAGTAGAAAAAGGAATTGGTTTTATTTATTTATTTATTTATTTTTAATGTAGAATTAAGAGTTTGTGGTACGTCGACCAAGACAAAAAACTTCAAGGACCAAATTGTAATTTCATCGATCAGTCGAGTCTATGTAAGGAATCATGCATCAATATCAATATCCTAAAATAGTTCTTCCTCCAGCCGTCATTGCAACATCTGTCATAAAACCTCGAGCAACCTCCCAAAAATCTCAACCACGTTTCTCTCCCAGGTAATTAATTCTCAATTCTCAATCGTTGATCTTCATGCAAATTCATTTAATATTGTTATCAATTTCTATGCTTCTATTGTTTCGAAGCACTTTGATCAAGGAATAGCACATGTACTTTGAATATTTTGCAATTGATTATTTGCACTGAACAACGTAATCGGTTTAACGTTTCCTTCACGTATCTACTCAATCTTTTGATTTTGCGATAGAAAAAAAACTTCATCGTTTGCAGATGGTAACTTATATTCTTCGGTTGATCTACTGCAATTATATCGATTCTATGTTTTTAAGCTCCGCTTTAGTATTTTCGATTTTTTTAATGGAATTGCGTATGCATGTTGCTTTGCTTTGTTGGAGTTTGGTCACCTAATGAGCAGAAAACTGTTGATTTCTAACAATCGAGTAAGTTGTTCATGTTATCTGTTCTGATTGAATGATTTTGTTCGCTTGACACAATTAAGCACAAATAGTCGCATAAAACACCCACGATTTAGGTCTATGTTCATACCCACTACTTTTTAATGGCGGATTCTGTTTTCTGATGAAAACGAATCTGTAATACGTTTTTACAAACGCCTATAGTAAAATTTGATGTTGATGTGTTTTGTTTTTATACGAAGGGAATAATTTTATCTACTGTTGATCAGATGACTTCATCTTCATGAGAATGACATATTCTTTTAGGCTTTTGTGGAAACATTACTCATTGGGGTTTCAAGACGTTTGGTTTAACTTAAGGTTTATATAGTTCTATTTATACATATGAATAAATTAATCATCAAGTAGTCTTCTTTATTGGCTTATTATCATGTTTTTGTATTTCATGTTTACAATATTGCTTATGAGATAAAACACGTCTGATAAAATTGTATGACAATTTTTCAGTGTTCCAAATTCCATTAAGTTTTATGCTTTACAGCAATGGGTAATGAAGTTCAGTATATACTGGAAAGCAAGAGATTAGTATGGCTTGTTGCAGTAGTATTTGCCATGGTTATAATGTTCCAGTACTTTGAATTCCCATATGGTGATTATGTTTCATCATCCTTATTTTCTGCTAAAAGAGCTCAACCACCTGTAACTGGAAGCCTCCAATATGAAGCTTCACCACAAAATCCCAAATCATTAGACAAAATCACCCTTTTTGATGGCTCTAATCATACAAACCCTTTGGATATACTTGAGAAGGGTAATAAGATTATAGACAATGGAGACAAAAATGATGTTGAAGTGAAGCACAATTCAACAGTGGACAAGGTTCAAGAAAATGGAGGTTTGGTTACAAATAATGCTACACAATCTGTTGGAAATTTATCTATCAATAATGTTAGTTATTCAACCTTACAAGAAAAAAATCCAGATGTTGCAAGTTCACCAACTCCTATAACACCCTCAACATCAATAGTTTCTATTTCTCCTTCAATGGCAATATTGGATAATAACACATCTAAAGCAGATATAGGTGGACCGAATTCAGACCACAAGCACAAATCTTCTAAATCACATAAAAAACACGTGAAGAAAATTCCATCAATGGGGGATGTAGTGACAATTTCCAACATGTACGACATTTTACTTTATAATCGTGCTAATGTTCGATCCATGGTATGCAAGTTCCACCATTGTTATTGTGATTGAAAGTTTCTTTGTAGGTATGCTTGTTTTGTTTCTTATATATCTTACAAAATTTGTATTGTAGAAACCATTGTGGTCTTTAAAAGTTGATCAAGAATTACTTGATGCAAAATATCAGATTGAGAATGCTCCAATCAATGACAATGATCGGGCGCTTTATCCTCCTCTATATCGTAATGTATCGATGTTTAAAAGGTGAGAACAACTTAACTTTTTGTCAAAGATTGGATCCCATCTAATTTTTTATCCCGTTTATAGTACTTCGTGTTTATTTTACCATTTGCATATGCAATGTAGGAGCTATGAATTAATGGAAAAGATTCTCAAGGTTTACGTTTACAAAGAGGGAGAAAGACCTATATTCCACCACCCACAATCGGTTCTTAGTGGAATTTATGCCTCTGAGGGATGGTTCATGAAGCATATGGAAGAAAGCAAACATTTTGTCACTAATGACCCCAAACAAGCTCATCTATTTTATATTCCTTTTAGCTCTCGAATATTAGAAGAAAAATTATACGTGACTGGATCCGGAAGTCGCAACAACTTGGTACAACACTTGAAGAACTACCTTAATCTGGTTGCTGCGAAATATGATTCATGGAATAGAACTGGTGGGTCCGATCATTTCCTCGTTGCTTGTCATGATTGGGTAAGTCATTCGGTCCATGCCATAACCCAAGTTTGACTAAGCCCTATTTTTATGCAGATCAAGACAAAATAAATTGTACTGTGTTTGACATGTATTTAATCTGTATTAAGACTAATGTTAACGGGACAATAACTGGCCACATTTTTTTCCCTATAGAAAAGGTGAAAATTTATTGTGGTCTTTTTTGTCCCACCCAAAAATGTGAAATAAGATGTGACAAAATTGCATTTTTATGTTCCAAACATAAAAAGGTGTAATGGGGATTAAAGCTTATATTAAGTGGAGAAAAATTACAGTTTTTGTCCTATCCAAAAAGTTTAAATTGGGATTACAACTGATGCTAACTGGACAAAAAAATGACCCATCTGAAAATGTGAAATGGAACAAAAATTACATATTTTGTCCCACCCTAAGGTCAATTTGAGGATTGAAATTGATATTAACATGACAAAAATTGTTTTTTTTTGTTCCACCAAAAATGTTACATTGCTATGGGACAAAAATTATATTTTTTTGGCCTCACTAGAAATGTGAAATGAGGATTAAAACCGTACTCAATAGGAAAAAAAGTTGCATTTTTTGTCACACCCAAAAGATGAAATAAATAAAACGGTACATATATCCATTTTTTGTTCCATCCAAAAATATGAAATAAGGTGAAACAAAAAGTGCATCTTTTGTCATTCAAAAAGGTAAAGTTTAGAGTAAATTGATGTTAACATGCATATTTTTTGTCTCATTCAAATAAGTGAAATGGTGATTAAAATGTTAATGAGACTCTCTCTCGGATCTTGTCTATTCAAAATCCATGAACATAATTACACCACTAGCTTTAGTTATTTATGAACAATTTCTTTTTGGTGATTCGAAACTCACCAACATCAAACGTATAATTTCAGGCAACAGACGAGACAAGAAAATCCATGGACAGTTGCATAAGAGCTCTATGCAATTCAGATGTGAAAAGAGAAGGTTTCCAATTAGGAAAAGACGTTTCTCTCCCTGAAACATACGTCCGCTCACCCCAAAACCCATTACGCGAACTCGGAGGCAAACCCCCTTCCCAACGCCCGATCCTCGCCTTTTTTGCAGGCCAAATGCACGGTTATGTCCGCCCCATTCTCCTAAAACATTGGGAAAACAAAGACCCCGACATGAAAATCTTCCAGAAGCTTCCAAAATCTAAAGGAAACAAAAACTATATTCAATACATGAAGAGTAGCAAGTATTGTATTTGTGCTAAAGGTTATGAGGTGAATAGTCCTAGAGTGGTGGAGGCTATTTTTCATGAATGTGTTCCCGTGATTATATCGGATAATTTTGTCCCACCTTTTTTTGAGATCTTGAATTGGGAATCGTTTGCGGTTTTTGTTCAAGAAAAAGATATTCCGAATTTGAAGAATATTCTCGCTTCTATATCGAAGAGGAGGTATTTGGTGATGCAACAAAGAGTTAAGAAGGTACAGCAACATTTTCTATGGCATGTTAAGCCTGTGAAATATGATATATTTCATATGATTTTGCATTCGATATGGTATAATAGAGTTTTTAGAGTAGATTCGGGTAGTTAGTTAGTTATTGTGAATATATTTTTTCAAAATGCGATTTTTAAATAACATGTCGTGTCATTGTTTATTGACTTGTCAGTTTTGAGTCGACAGGTTTACAATGCATTTTATCGTCTTAAAGAGTTAAATATTTAGTGTTTATCATCAAATGTTTTTTTTGAACGACGGAAAAATATATAAAAATTGACCAATTACCAAGTGTATAAGATACACTCATACACAGAAGAAAAGTATGAAGTGCAACTAGAACCAAGCAAAAACTTCCAAGTTTAGGGGCCACAACACACTAGGGTCAGAAAAGCAAAACCAGGGGTAAAAAAGTCTTTTCAAGGACCAAGGCTTGAGAAGGGGCAACCTCCTCTAGTGTAAATAAATCAAAATCAATTTTTTTTACAGTGGTAATTTGTAGTTATAACCAAAAGCCACACTTTACCTTGAGGCTACTATCATTAAATGTTTGCTGTTGATGTTCATCCACAAATTTTGAGTTTTTGACCAAGTAGTTGTAGTAAAAAATAATAACTTCTTGTAGTTTGTAATTTACTTACCTAATAATTGTATCTTGTTACAAATGAAACCTTACTACAAAAAAACTTACTCATTACAAATAATCTCACTACAACTCTCATCCTATTCTACACTCAAGCCTAAGTACAAGAAAATAAGAAACCTAAAAAATATGAAGAAAACGATCTATCAGAACTAAAGAGAAAATTATGCGAGAAAAAACCCTAATTGTGTGTCTCAAATGATGCGCCACACAACGTTATATATCCCCACTATTCAAGCCGGATATGTGTATGGATAGACTCATAGACCATTAGACCCGTGAGTACATATAGAAGTTTAACCAGCTTTACAATTTTTATCCACCTGCAACAAATCTTTACAATATATCACAAACATAACACATTTATTTATTTACTTACTTGACAATCTTGTACTTATTTTAACAATCCCCCTCAACCTAAACACATATTGAATATATTAAACCAAGTTTGTGAGATAAAAAATTATGTTGACGATAACTCAAAAGATTAAGTAAAAAAAATCAACAATTTTGTGAACCACCATTTATTACTTTAATCGCAACTTTAGGGAAATCTCCGAAAAAATTCCAAAGTTTTGGTGAGTTTATGGTTTAGTCATAAATTATTTTTTTTACAAAAAAGTCCAAGATACCAACTAACGCGGAGCAGGTAAACTGCCTAAGTGGCATGCCAAGTTGTTGACGTGGCGTTGATGTGGGCTGCTACGTTGGCTTCTATAATTTGTGTGTAACAATCAAAATTTTTAGTGAAAATTGGAGGAAGATGGTTTCGATACTCTGGCCTCCTGAACACAAAGTACGCCTCTAACCACTAAGCTAGAACAATTTTTATGCTTTAGTTGTTGAACTTATGTATATAAGCATTAATTCTCACCTTAAAAACATTCAAAAATATGGATAGTTGAGTATCCCAAGTGTCTAGAAACGTGTTATGGGAAGGAAAATAGACTACATTTATTTATAAAGGAAAAAATAAATGAAAGTGGAGTAGCCCAAGTCTCTATCATTATTTCTCATATGAAGAAAAGAAAGAGTTAAAGGTTATTATTCTATTTAAAAGGAGACCTGTTTATATAGAAAACGATATGTAGGGTTTCGTTTTAGGGTTGGCTATCATGGATTCCTTTGAAAACAAGTCAAAAGAATCCAGAATGAATGAGAAAATCAATGGTTTCTCAAACTGACGATCTCTGCCCCCTTTGGATCCTGCTAGGAGCGATGTCCCTAGACTCCACCAAAGGGTCACTACCCTTTTGGAAACCCCTAACCCGGGGGCGCTACCCCCGGACCCCCGACTTGTCGTCTAACCGACTTCTAATTCGATCTTATACAGGTGTGCTTTCCGCACATACCCAAACATGTATTTAGAGTACAAATTACGAAGCCCTTTAGCTTACATGTAAGTTCCAATAATACAAAATGTCCCGGTGACATTAAAATTACCAACATTATATACATCGGTTCAGAAACAAAAGCAACAAAAGCATTGTAGCTTAGTGGTTAATGGCGTTACATTTTAAATTTGAGGTACCGAGTTCGATTCTCACTTCCCCCATTTATATACCGGCCTTTATATTTACAATAGAAGAAAAGAAGCTGACATGGCTTGCATTGTCAGCTGCTATGTCATCACATATATCTAAGTCAAATGTACCACATCAGTAATTATCTGTTCAATAAGTTAAAAGGGTCAAAATGATTACATTAGCTGATATTCTGTCATTTTTCGTTAAAAAAAAATAATTTTGGACTAAACCGCAAACTGTACCAAAACTTTGGGATTTTTTCATAGATTTTCTGAAACTTTATCTCTAATAATATGTGCATTTATTTTCATATGTTTGATTTTTTCGTGTAAAACTGGATTTTCTGATTTTAGAATAGCTAAAGCATTGTTACAAAACAAATTAACAAGAAGTTAATATTTTAAGTCCAAGTCTTTTAAAAATTTTAAGAGCCACAAAATTTCACAAATAGTGGTTGCATGAGCATGGAAAATCAAACCGGAACCGGAACTGTTAGAACCGGAATATCCGAATATGTAGAACCAATCTAGGTTCCAAGTTTAAAGTATGGCTTTAACTGGTTCCAGGTAATCTGGGTTTCGGGTCTGGATAAACCGAGTTTAAGAATCAAAATCGATGTTAGGTGCAATATTCCTTCTAAAATAAAATAAGTAAATAAGTAGATAAATAAATAAATAATAAACCTTAAAAACTCTAAGATGTATTTTTATATTTTATTTTTAACCCTAAAGTCCTATTAAATTAGTGGGGGGTACATCTTGAGGTGTTAAAAGTTATATTTCCTGGTATTAAAGGTCAAATTGTAACATATGGTCTTGTATTGAATGGTTTTTTGGAAGTAAGGGCTAAAGAGTAAAATTTAGACTTGGATTGGAAAAAATAGAGGGGGGAGGGGTTAGAAGTGTCGTATTTGGTATGAAGTTTGAATTGGAGACGGGCATGTCACCCTCCTAATGGCCTCATGTTAACCCCTCACCTCCAGCCGCCGCTACCTTCTCTGTCGATGCTGGGAACAACCAAGTCGAGTGTCGTCGTCGTTGTTTCCGTTGTTGCTGAGGACGAAGACTGACTTTAGACGTCATGGTCGCTGATGTGATCAGTGACGGACGCAACCACCTCCTCTCCTCCGCAAATGCCGTCCTTCTCCCTCCATTTTCGTTTAGGCCTGCTGCTAGCCGTTGCCGCCCACTCAAAAGATCCCTTCTGCTACTCCAGTCTTCATCCATCACTGACTGCCAGCGTGAGGGAAGTTGAGTTGCGTACATGTTTCAGTGGGTGCTCGTGCTTCATGTATGTGCGTGTGTATCACTACTACAAATAGTGACTTGTGCGTGCGTCTTGGCTAGCTAGAAGTTGAAGAGAACCACCATGGTAGCCAAACATGGTGGTTGCCTCCCTTTCTACTTTTTCTGCCACCACCAGCCACCCTGTGTATAATATGGTGTGTGTGCGTGTTTAGGAGGACATGTTGTATAGACGTTTCTTCGCCAGAAAATCAAAGAAAACCTACCACCACCTTCTGTTGCTGTCTGCCACCATCTTAGTGGCTATATTGGGAATTTTCCTTGTTCATTGGGGGGTGTGTGTGTGTATGATGTAGGAATTCTTTATGTGTGCTTGGTTGTTGTAATTATCACTCGAAACCGCCACCGTGTGTGGATGGCTGCCATCGTGGACCACCGCCGACCACCACTGCCTAAGGTGGAAGTCGGTGGTGCCCGATTTATTAGAGATTCAATTACCTAAACATCTAACTTTAGTCCGAGTGGCACGGGTTTGGGGTTGGAAACCCTAATTAGGGTTTAGAAAACCCTAGTTTTGGAGTTGTTCGGGGCCCACATTAAAACTGTTAATTAAACTTTAAATAATACTTAATAATTCCCCTAAAATTAACTTAATGCAATATTGGACTTAATGGATTGAGTCCTAAGGGGTTAACTTTTGAACACTAACCCTAGTTGTCATGTTATGTGACAAACCCTAAAATCAGGGAGCTTTATTTTGGACAATGATCGGGCGCGTATTTGGGCTATTAATTGGATTATTATTACACCCGATAATGACTAAGTCAAACCTTAATCAGTCCTACCCTTAGGCGATTAAGTCCTTAATGGGTTATGTGTTCTTACTTAACCCCAATCATCATTTTATGTGAAACTTTAATCGTCATTTCATGTGAGGTGGTCATTGTTGCAAGTGACAATGATTTGTGATTGGGTATTGACTCAAGTATCTTCCTATAGGTGATTGGAAGTGAGTTGAAGTTGGTAGAGTTCTTCATTACTACAGTAGTTACCTATGTAAATACCGAGGTGAGTTTCGCTTCACTATACACGTGGGTCGAAGGCACCAATGCCAACCCACTAGTTTTAGTTATCTGCTAGTAGAGGGATACATTTGGGATTGTATGTAGTCATGTAGGATAGACTGAGGACTCTTGATCCAGGCTCTCTTACTTGTTCATCGTTTGGTTGTGGTTCTAGAGTGGGATCATTTGTATAGGTGACTATCTCACCTATGAGTATATACGGCCATGCATTCCTTGGATTGTTGATATTGAGTATGTTGTTATGATGTAGTGATTTATTATTTCAGGTATCATTGGTGTTTATGGGAGGGCGAAGGCGGGACTGTACACACACATCAGAAGCATTGAGGATTTCGCGTTTTCTATAAAACTCATATTTTGAACAAATGTAATTTGAAATAAACGATTTTTCTTAATAATGAATTTATAAATTGGAAAGTTTTCACCTTAATAAAAATGAAAATTGTTTGTTGTGAAAATGAGATGTTACAAGTTGGTATCAGAGGCTTGGTTTTAGTGAATTGGATGAACACTTGTGTGAATCCAGTCTCAAACTAGGATCCAAGAGTTTTTTGCAAATTGTTTTTGAAAAAGAAATTATAATTAAAAGAGTTGGGTTAAGGAAATGGGCTTGGTCCCTTGTCATGTTTGATAAGGTTCATGCTTGATA